TAATTATTTTGCATTTAATTTTTTGTGATCTTGCATGTAATTTGGAGGAATTAAAGAATAATTATGGGTTTTGATTTTAATTAGTAACCCATGCATGTAATGTAATCTAAGAGTTTGACTCAAATTAAACATATTTTGGAACATCTATGACTATGAATTAAATTGAGGTTAAAATAAATTGAGTAAAGCTTGAGATTAAGGAAGTGAGCTTGGGAAAATTTATCAAATAAGTTTAATTTGTGTTATTCCTCATGAATTTGGACTTCATCTTTACATGCATCAATGAATCTTTAAGAAAGTTGGAGAATTAATTTCATGGTTGAGTATAAGAAGAGCAAGTTTTGGGAAATTATGAATTCATAAACATTTTGAGCTTAATATTGAATTAAAGGAATTTTGGACATAATTGGTTTGAATTTTGACCCTAATTTCACACATGCAAATATTTTTCTAAGAAGTCTTATAACTTTAATTTCATGTTTTAGATAATCCTCCATTCATCATGAATTAAGAAAGTTATGGAATTAGTCTCATGGATTTTGTAAGAAATAAGGTTTTAAGTAAGAAATTAAGTAGACTCATAGTTGTGGAAATTAATTTGGAAAATTAATTGTTTTGATTTGATCTTGTAGTATTTTCTCGCAATACATGAGTTTTAAGGGAGTTGAGCCATTCAAGTTCTGTTAGCACCATAAATCTGTAATTTTTATTATTATTTATTATTTATATAATTGCAGGACATGTGGCATCCTCCTACTCACTTGGAGGTTATGAGAAGTTATGAAGACATGGAGGGTTATATGGCATTATGAAGATGGAAGAGTGGGTAGTTTTAGGTGGTTATTGGGTAGTTATTGCTGCAAGTTTTTTCCTACAAATATTTGTCTATAAATAGCTACATTGTAAAAGATCCCAGAATTCAAATCAAAGACAATTGATTTCAATATTTCTTGTCATTTTCCTTATCTTAGGAGTAGTTTAACATAGATTTATATTTCGAAGCATTTATTTTCAGCATTTCATTTTCAAAGCATTTTATGCACTTCCTTTTCGAAGCATAGGAGTAGAGGTAAGTAATTTTTAATATTGATTGTTCACTCAATCATCTTTCTTTGTCTCCTTTCTTCTTTTAATTTTTATTTTCTCTACACTTGGCAATTTTGAAGTCCTCTTTATTCAGGCAAAAGAACCGTCAATGCAATCGCTTGATAATTGGTTTGAATTTAATCTGTAAGGATTTTTTAATCCTTACTGGCACGCTCGCATTTATAATATTTTCCTTCGTAGGAAAAATAAGCCAACAATTTTTGGCACGCCCCGTGGGACGTCAAGTGTAATAAATGAAAAATGAATTGGATTTGTCCATTTCAAATAGCTTAGATGAAATTTATTGGCGTAAACAAGAAATTTTGGATCATCAAGAAGAGATCCATTTTCTTGATGAAATAAATTTTCATCCCTTACAAAATTATTTGGTGGAAGAAAAAAGACACTATTGATTGGAGAAATTCATCAACTTGATATGAAAATTCGCCAATGGAATGATAAGTTATCAACTCTCACTACCAAATCTTTAACTGAGGCCTTATTGGCCGGAATCGATGAATTTTTTCAGAATTTTTCCGTGGTTAAAAATAGCAAAAGCAAAGAGTTAATTTCATCAATGGCTCGGGGGGTTCAAAAGTCCGTTTTTAAAGAGCCAAATTATGAAATTAACATAACGAAAGAGCATGTTCTTGAGCCAAATTTGGCTAAGAATGATGTTCCATGCATGGCTCGGGGGGTCTCAAAACCAATTTTTAGGGAGTCAAGTCATGAAAATAACATATCCATGGGTGATTTTCATAAGCCATTAATGGCTAACATGGAAAAAAAAACTCACTTTGTCAAATAATTATGAAAATCAATACAACAAAAGTCATTCTTTTAAAACAAATATGGTCAAAAATAATGAACACGCCACTCTTCATGAATTCAAAATTTTTGACATTTTTCAAAATGTCAAAAAGTATGAATTTTCATGGTTA